GTTCAGGAAATGAGACCATCTGCTGGCAAACAGGACCTCACTCGCTAAAAATCTGCACAGAAAAGGAAGCCACTGTGAAGAGACAGCCCACTGAATGAGAATATGTTTGTTTGACAGGATAACTATCTAGATTATTCACAGAACTCAAAATCTAAAGAAACACAACCACTCAAAAGAAATGTGCTAGTGAACAGTTTTTCAAAAAAATCCAAAAGGCCAGATGCAGACACACAAATACACATAATTAAAAATAATTTTTAAAAAGTTTAAAAAGTACCTTAAGGCAAATTAAGCTACACTGAATTTTCATTTCACCCCAGCCATTGTGGCAGTCATTAAGAAAACAATACGAGTGACGAGAGGCTTTGTCTAGTTCAGTGGTCCTTGTGTCTAGGTGCGTTTACACTCTTGTGGGTTTGTGGTTTCATCACATTAATAGGTCAAAATGCAAATCCTCATGAAGTCCCTGACCAGCAAGACCATCATCACCTTAGAGGTGGAACCCAGTGACACCAAGTGAAGGACAAGATCCAGGACAAAGAGGGCATCACTGCCCCCCATCCAGCAGTGACTCACCTCTGCAGGTAAGTAACTGGAAGGTGGTCATACTCTTTCTGATTATCAACATCCAGAAAGAGACACCCCTGCCCCTGGTCCTCCACCTGAGGGGTGGCTATTCTTCACTCTGCATTCCCAATGGGCAATCATGGCATTACTCCACACTATAGCCATTCACCCCAATTTGAGTTTAGAAATTACAAGTTTCAGTAATAGCTGAACCTCTGTTAGGTTTTGTTGCATGGTTTAAAAAGAAGGAAAGAAAGAAAACAAGAGGACAGAACCTGGGCACAGGAGGGGGAGGTCCAATGATGTTAATATAATACACATTTTCCAAAAGTAAAAACTAACCAAAAAGGGAAAATACACATTGGTGACAATGTGGACCAAGGGACCCTTACACGATGCCGGGGGTGTGAACTGGCACGGCCAGCATGGACATGATTGTGCAGGTTCCTGACAATAGTCATCCACTATATGACCCAGCTAACAGTACTACTGGGGGGGCCCAAGTCAGGATCTCACGAGTTACTTGAGAGTCAATGCCTATTGAAGTACCACAGTGTCTAATTAGGAACCAACCTAGGTGCCCAACAGCAGAGGAGTGTGAGATAGGCCTGTGTGTTCTGCCACAAAGCAGAATAAAGTCACGTTTTCAGCAAAATGAGTGTAACCCAAAATAATCATATAAATTAAGCCAGTCTCAGAATGGCAAATAGTGTATGTTTTCCTTATTTGTTGTTCCTAGATTTTAGATGTCTAAAACCATGTGTGTATGGCATGAATATAGACTGAAAAATGTCTACAGCAAAAGGGACTTCCAGGTAGACAAGAGAAACAGGAACATGAAAACTAAGGTAGGGGGTCTGGAGAGATGGCTCAGAGGTTAAGAGCACTAACTGTTCTTCCAGAGGTTCTGAGTTCAATTCCCAGCAACCACATGGTGGCTCACAACCATCCGTTAGGAGATCTGGTGCCCTCTTCTGGTGTGCAGATATACATGTATGCAGAATGTTGTATACATAATAAATAAAATCTTAAAAAAAAAGAAAATGTTCTTTTTAATACCATGAACAATTCATTTATACAATAAAATTTTTAAAGAAAAAAACTACAAAAAGAAGAAAGAAAAGAAAAGCTTAAGCCAGGCAGTGGTGGTGCATGCCTTTAATCCCAGCACTGGGGAGGCAGAGGCAGGAGGATCTTTGAGTTCGAGACCAGCCTGGTCTGCAGAGCGAGTTCCAGGACAGCTGTGTCTGAAAACAAAAGCAGCAAAAGGGGGTTATTTTCCTCTGATGGGGAAAGTCCTTCTGTATATATGTTTCTCTTATTGGTTGATGAATAGAACTCTGATTGGCCAGTATCCAGATAAGAAGTATAGGCGGGGCTACAAGTCAGGAGAATTCTGGGTAGAGGAGAGAGGAGAGGCCATGTAGTACCAGGAAGACAGGATTCTGGACATTGTCTGGTAAAATAAGACCATGTGGAAATACATAGTTTATTAGAAATGGACTAATTAAGAGAGAGCTAGCCAGTAAGAAGCCTAAGCCATTGGCCAAACAGTTTATATTTAATATAAGTCTCTGTGTGTTTATTTGGGGCTGAGGGGCAGTGGGACCAGGCAGAACAGAAACCTCTGCCTACAGTCCTCTGTTTGTGTGCTCTGTCATGTGCTCACCACCCCCACAATAGTTTCAAAATTAAATAGTGAACCACTGTTCGGACAGTAAGCAGCAGCTTTCTGTTCTCTGATTAGATTTGAAACCAGGAGAGAGTCAAAGGCTTGGGACTGTAAACCTAGTCAAAAATCCATGGTGGAAAAAATTATAGGCCCTGAGAGGTGACGCATACCATAGCTTGGCAAATGGACCTAGCTGTCTTCTAAATATTTATGCTTACACCCATGGACAAATGCTGCTTTCAACCTTAACTAGAAAAGTTCTTTCCAGTGACTGGTGGTGAATGTAAAGACTTAGGGGGTTAAAAGTGGCATGCAGCCAGTCCTGGACAACATTTATACAATCCTCTCTTGGGATCAGGGGACACTGGAGAAGAGTGGGTAGAAAGAAAGAGAGGAAAGATAGGGAAAGGACTGCAAAGTGTTCTCTTCTGGGTAAGACATGAGATGGATTTGCACATCCACTCTTGACAGCTGAAGTGCTGTCGCCAGGAGACTCAGGGAGGGGGAGAACCAGTGCCTATGTGCATACATCAATGACCACAAAAGGATCCAGTTATCACACAGATGGCCCTGGCTGAACTGCTCAGGTCACTAACAGCCCAAGTCAAGAACATAGGAAAAGACTGCTAGTGATGGGCGAGATGGCTGGGGTGAGGGACTTCAGGGGTAAAACCAAGAGAGGATGGAAGGAGAGCGTGATCAGAACATATTGCATACATATATGAAATTGTCAAATAATTTTTTAAAGTTGCATTTCCCATTGCACAAGCCCTGAGTTACAAAGCAAAGCTTCCAGTCCTGAGTATGAGATACCTCACCAGGAATTATTGGTTCCAAATACCTCCTAAATTATACATCCTATGGCCATTGCCCCTGCTTGCCCGCCAGAGCAGGATGGTAAGACACCCCTTTTGTTGATGACAACCATACAGCCTGGTTTCAGAATGTAAAGAAGCCATGTTGAAACCAAGCAGAAAGCATCTTCACTGCTAGGTGTCATTTATGGTACCAGAAGTTGCTATGTAGGCAGTTTGGGGAGTAGAAGTCAGATGTGGTATTTCCCAGCTTTGAACCTTGCAAACTACAATATCAAGTTGCCAGGCAACAGATGCTTACTGAAATAATAGTGGCACAACTGTTTCAGGGTAACCAATTGGCTTCTGATGGGCTCTTGAGGCCCATTCCATTTGAGGGAATTCATGCCTAATACTGTGGATCTTGTCAAAGACCCATCACTGGGGAGGTCAGAAGCACGTTTGTTTATTCTGCTAAATGGTTATGTTGTCAAACCTTTGGCTGGCACTGTCCTCAGTTTTGATCAAAGAAGCTTTTAGCAGCAAGTAGCAGTTAAAGCAGACTCAAGGCTGGTTGAGATGTTGAGATCAGGTGACTGCTGTGTGCTCAACCTTAAGTGGGGTTCCCATATCATACCTTCCCACACCAGGGCTCAGGGAACACTGAAGAAGCAAAACCAGTGGAAGGTAAGAGCCAGGTGGTAAGGATCAGGGCTATGAAAGGAGGTCTCATCCACATGACCTGTCTGAGGCATGCATGAACCCCAAACAGTTGCGGTTGTCTGCATAAGAGCCTGTACAAGGCGGAACCCCTAAACATTCAATCCTAGAAAGGTCGGGGCTCACAGGATCCCATCCAGGGGCTCTAGTAGCAATCCTAGGTTGCTGGGGAAGAGTGACGCTGTCTTCAGTGACGCAGTTGGTGGTGGTTCACCCATGGTGCAGTGGATAACCTTATACCATTGCCCATGTGCGTGACACTGGTTAGAGCGGAATGGGGACTTGAAGCAGGAAGTACAGCCAAAAGGAGGGTAACAGGGATGAGGAGGAGGGAGTGTGATTGTTTTGTATTATATACATTTACAAAGTTGTCACAGACAAAATTGATTTCGTAAGGGGTTTGTCATTAATAAAATTTATCCCTCTCCTACCTGTCCTTTTGACTTTTCTCCCTGAAGAAAAGCTGTTTGTTCAGCGGGACCCTCACTTGACAGCTGTCCATGTGTCCATGTGTCCTAGGGCCTCACTCGGAGGGCTCAGCTTAGTTGAAGCCTTATGGAAATTCTGATCTGCTGAGCCAGTTCAGTCTCAATGCTGACACACAGCACCGAAAATATCCACCATTACACTTAAGAGCAGGATTTAAGGTTATCTATTATCTCCAACCAATTGTGATGGTTAGTTTTATGTCAGTTTGACCCAGCTAGAGTCATTTTGGAAGAGGGAACTTCAATTGAGAAAATGCCCCCACCAGGTTGGCCTATGGTACCTTTTCTTTATTGATGATTGATGTGGGAGTGTCAGAACCTGCCGAACAGTGTGGCTGGAGACTGAATGCCCCTATCATCTTCAGTGTGGCTGGAGACTGAATGCCCCTATCTTCAGTGTGGCTGGAGACTGAATGCCCCTATCTTCAGTGTGGCTGGAGACTGAATGCCCCTATCATCTTCAGTGTGGCTGGAGACTGAATGCCCCTATCTTCAGTGTGGCTGGAGACTGAAGACCCTACTTCTATCTTTTATATCCCTCTAGTGCTGGAATTAAAGGCGTGTGATCTGTTACTCTTTTAGACTGATTCAATCTCGTGTATCCCTGGGTGGCCTTGAACTCACAGAGATCCATCTTTATGGGGTCCCCTTGCTTGCATATTGTTGTGTGACAAAACTTTCCTGGGGAGACATAGCACACATATCTACTCACCCCAGATAGGGGTCCCAGGAGAGACCAAAGCAGGGATACCATCAAAGTCCAATTTGGCAAGCCAATGAGTTTTATTGGGGTTACTTATAGGAATGTGTGTGAGGTGTTACTTATAGCAGCAGAAATGACTTGAAGACAGCCACATCACCACCCACTCCAGCCCGGTGACAGCTCACAAAGCTGGGGACCTAAAGCTCACTACATAGACCAAAGCAAGTTAACATGTTGGAGAGTGTTTAGTTCCTCGGTTGGCATTACTATTTGTCTTCTAGTCAGTCCTACTGCTTTGTTGTAGCCCAGGCAGCTGGGCTAGGGTTGTCTGTTTTGCAGCTTGGCTTATGTGAGAATCTTCTTTGCAACTCTGTTCCTATTGCGAACTCTGGCAGGGAGGGGACTTGGGAATCTGGTGAGTTTCAGGGACTTCCTGAAGCTATTTCAAGCTGTTTACTTTACTAATTAAGGAGTTTCCTTGAAGGATGGAATGTTTCAATCTCAGAGGAAACTGTTTCACAATACCTGTCCAAATCTAGTCTACAGAATTCTTGGCTACATTGTTGCAGGTGAAGGAGGCCTCCTTACAAGAGAAAAGGCAAATACAGAGTAGAAAGTAGTAACTGAAGTAGCGATTAAATGATGCAGTTAACAAGTCACAAGTTCACGTGGGGATCCCCCAGGGTGCTGCAAAGGGAGGTAAAGGCCTTCCTTTCCTTACAGACCTGACTTTAGTCCTGAAGACCTGTTTTCCCTAAAACACCGAGTTATCCTAGATTTGCTTCATCAAACAGTTTGAAATTTGTTACTGTAGAGCATTTACCATTTCCATACAGCTTATCTGATTATGGTTTCCACAAATATATAGCAGCAAAATCTTTACATAGAGGAGCTTAGGAAACACATTTTAAATCCAGTTGTTTGGGATAAAGCTGTCATCTGCGAAGAAATTACTAGGTTTGCAATTTTGAAAACCAAAAAGAATAAAGCCACAGCCTATCTACCAGAGCAGTTACATTGTGTCCCTAGTTTCCAGGAGAACCAGTCTGACAACTTCTGTAAGATGGGCAGCACCTACAGTCTTGTTCCCATAACCAGCAGTGCCTTTTGTGTGCAAGCAACAGAAGATGCCACACGAAGATTCACTGGGATATTCTTAGGCTTCTTCCCAAATCTCAAGTAAATACTACCTAGATAAAAAAAAACATGATCATGAAATACAACTAAAATTAAATGTGAGTTTATAATGGGATATTGGCAACACCACAGACTGGGGAAAGCACACTAAGATTTATTCTGAGTATTACACAGATATGGAACTAAAAGAGCTTTGATAAAATGTCATTTCTTTCTTTTTTTTTTTTCTTTTAAGGTAGGCCTCAAACTATGTATCTGAAGAAGATCTGGAACTTCAGATCCTCCAGCCTCTACTAAAGCTCTTGGTCTTTATTTTATACAGATTGTACAGTAGGGAAGTGTCCTAGTTAGTGGTACTATTGCTGTGACGAAACATGACCAAAAGTAACGTGAGAAGGAAAAGGTTTATTTGGGTTACATTTACTATGTAAATGTTCACCATCACTGTTCACCATCAAAGGAAGTCAGGACAGGAGCTCAAAGAGGCAGGAGCTGATGCAGTGGAGGGCAGCTGCTCACTGGCCTGCTCCTCAGGGCTTGCTCAGCCTGCTTTCTTATAGAACCTAGGACCACCAGCTCAGGGGTTGTCCCACCCACAATGGGCTGGGCCCTCCCACATCGATCACTAAGAAAATGTAGTGTCCCGAAGGCTTGGCTACAGCCTCATCTTATGGAGGTGCTTTGTTTTCTCAATTGAGGCTCCCTTCTCTCTGATGACTCTAGTTTGTGTTAAGTTGACAAAAACTACCACAGGGAGAAACATGAAGAGTGCATGCTTTTATCTCCTATCTGACATATGTATGACACTGTACTTAAGTTACATCAATTCCTATACACAGGCTTAGAATAAACTTGCTAAATGGTGCTCAATAAATTCTTGATTAACTCATGTTGTCAGGGAATACTCCCCTACAACACAAGGTTCTTCTGTGGAGCCCTAGCTGTCCTAGAACTTGTTCAGTAGGTCAAACTGCCCTTGAAGTCAGACATCTGCCCACCTCTGCCTCCCACGTGCTAGGACTAAAGCCATGAGGCATCATCTAGTTGGAGCTGCTCAAACTAGATTGTGAGAGCTGAATGGTCAAATTCCAGGTGTTTTATGACCCAAGTGACTCAAGTTGGTAGTTTAAATTGGACATTTGCAAGGAAATTGGGAAATGCTTTCCATCAATCTTAGATTCAGTATTTGGGAATTAATTGTACTCAACTAAATGTAGAAGAATTGAAACATGTTCTTATAATTATCTCCAGAACCAACAACTTAATAAAAGCTACCCCCCACCCTTCCCAAAAAAAGGTTCAAATAGACATCTGGAGCAAAGGGGCAGCAATGTATCCTCACTGAGTACTTTGGACAGAGACTATATGGCCCACTGGACCCATATCCTTGGAGCAAGTCTATAGATCTCTTATCTAGAAAATCCCTGTCCACACTGCCAGTGGTCCTTTATAGTTTATGATTCTGTCAGGTTAACACCATGACAACGGGCAATTAATGACACCCTACCTTGCCTGTGATGGTTAACTTTGACTGTCAGCCTGACTATATACACCCAAGGCATCAGTGAGGCTCATCCTTGGCTATACCTACCTTTTGATTAAAGCAATAAAGAAAGCAACTGATACACTAAATAATTCATAAAGTGTGCCATATTGCTAAGGTTCCTTCCCAGGGGACAACATAAGCAATGGCTACCCCCTCTAAGGTCTCAACAACAAACTAAGGCATGATTCCTTCAAAGATCACTTGGGAGAACCCATGAGTTTATCGTACTTCCTTACAGAGCATAGGTGAGGGGTTCCTTAGTGGGGGGTGGGGGGCAGGTGCTCCTGGAAAGCCTTAATGTAGCAGGGCTGAGGGCCTTCAGTTAGTCACATAGATGGAGCCCCCTCCCCTAAATTTCTTCAGAGCCTTGGGGCAATGTGCAATTAGGGCCCCAAGGCAAACAGGCGGTAGGGAATGGCCAGGTGGTGAGCATCTTGTGACTCTCCCTCCCACTCCAGATGGGGTGAGACAGTCAAGGCCAGCTAGGGTCAACCCTTTCCTAGGGAATGAAGCTGAACTTGCCAAGGTGGCAGCTGCTTGCTTGGCTGGCTGGTAGAACAGTCGTTCATAACATGCTATACTACAACTGTTCAGAAATCAATTTAGGTTGGGCATGGTAGCCCACATCTTTGATCCCAGCACTCAGAAGGCAGAGGCAGGCAGATCTCTGTGAGTTCCAGGCCAGCCAGAGCTACACAGAGAAACCCCGTCTGGAAACACACGCCCCCACCCAAAAAAAGAAAGAAAGAAAGAAAAAAAAGAACCAATCTAGACAATTGTAGGGCTATTCCATGTGTACACAGCTAGAGGTTAGGTTTCTAAAGGGCAAGGGAGTAAAGACTTCCAGGGGAATGCGACGTAAGAGTAAAGAAATGGGAAGGGAAGGGAGGTCACTGTAGGCTGAAAGGCAGCCTGGGAAAATACTGCATGAAGGAAAACCAGATGAGAACAGGGAGCTAATGAAGTTGGGGAGAGATTTTACTTAAATATACAGAAGAAATGTCCAAAATACTTGCTTGCCCAACGGTGGAACTTCCTACCCCCAAGAAGTAAGCGATCGTCTCGTACCTAGACATAGGCCTTGTAAACGCTTCCTGTCGCTGAACAATGCTGGCAGGCACTAAGTGATATCCACCGATACCTCGTCTTGCAATTTACACCGCCGCCGCAACTCTGACCCAGATTTCAAAGGGCTCTGCTAAGACGTGTTTATGCAACAGCAGTTAATCACGGAAAAGGGTTCGATGGCCTAAGAGCAAAAATATGGGATGTCTTTGCGTATTTGGGTCACGGTGCTCTGTCAGCGCTCACCTTGGTGCAGCACCAGCTAGTGTGCCAAGTGCCACAATGTATCGCAAGTTATGGATGGCGTGGGGGTCACGGCTGAAACGGAAATAACTTAACTGGACCTACGTTCTCCACTGGGGT